AATATATCAGCCTATAATTAAGGATTTAATACGTGTTAGATGCACAAAATGCAAGTCAAGGGCATGCGGGTCTGCGTCAAAAGCAGTTTGTAAGACACATGGCGAAATAGACTTGAATTTGCCGGAGGCAGAGCAAATCACGGCCACAGAGAGACAGAGAGAGAGAGAGAGATTTGATCTGTTGTTTATGTTAAATTAGGGTTTCGGCTCGCCAATGGGTGTCGCTTTCAAGTTGGAAATGTCAACCCAGCAAATCAGCAGAGTTGGTGCGAAACCCTAGCTGCCCGGACGGCTCAAGATCAAGGACAAAGGGCCATTGTATTGGCCATGTTTATCAAATCCATTTGGTTCTTGTTGATGTCATCTGGTACACCTAACCCAAAATAATTTGGTTCTTTGTTCCTTAAACATTATTATAGTTTTATTTTTCTTTGCGAAAAGGAGAAAGATTTGAGTGGGGAAAACAAGTATTTCGAGAGATTAATTATGTCCCCGATTACTCTCTAATTTCAAATTAATATCTGACACCGAAAAACTTCCTAGATAAGGACAGTAGAATATTAAAAAGGATTAGTACATTAACAAATATTTGCAATTAATGATTACAGATTGCTTATTGAACTAAGCATGAGAAGTCAAATGCATCATATATGCTCTAATAAAAATTGCAAGATTAGATCAAGATTCGGGGACCCTGGACACATTACTCATTGACCCCCCCAATTTTTTTGTATTCATTTGGAGAACACCCTTCGTTGAATATGAAAAGTGCAATATGGATTTATGAATGGATATCCTCCATTTTTTATGATTGTTGGGGCGATTGACTTCGGGTTTGATGGTTGAAATTGGATGATTCTGTTGTGCCATTCATTGAAAATGTGCCGGTCCAATTGAGTAGGAAATGGCAGGAGATGCTCTTTGTTTTTGAAGGAATAGGACCCTATGATCCTACACACTTGGCCTAAGTGAAGAGACAAGAAAGCATGTGGTTGGTGGGTAACATGCTTGAAAGATTGGAACTCTTGATTTCAGTTTTGGAACGTTAAAAACTTTAGTCTCTCTACATAGTCTCTTCTTCCTCGTTTGACTTCTTTCTCTATACATTTTGCGGAAGTTTAGGATACACCTTTGGTTATATAATGTGCATTGTATTTGAATCCAAAAATCAGTGATTTTTACTCCATAACACAAATACTGCACTTGTGCCAATTTAGTCATAAACCTTTCAATTTGGCCAATTTAATCATAGAATTTTTTACGTTTTGCCAATTCAGTCCCAAACCTTTTAATTGTGCCAATTTAGTTCTAAAATTTTTGACGATTTATTGATTTAGTCCTAAACTTTTTGACGATTTGCCAATTTAGTACTTTCAGCCAATTTTGGCCGAAAATTGCTAACATGGCAGTCCATTTAGTGCTGACTGCCCTATATGGTATGATCGGCGCTGACGTTGATAATTTTTTTAATTTTTTTTTAAAATTTATTATTATTATTTCTTATTTCTTTTCTTTTTTTCTAACCCTGGGCCGGCGAGGGTGTCGCAGCCATCACCTGCATCTAGGTGAGCACCAACGCCCTCACCTAAGGTCTCTCCTTGACTAGGCGAGGGTCGCCGGTGACCTCACCGGCCTAGAGAAAAAAATAAAAAAAATTCAGAAAAATTTAAAAAATTATTTACGTCAGCATCGGCCATGCTATGTAGGACGGCCAACACTGACTAGATTGCCACGTCAGTGATGCCGGCCACAATTGGTTGGAAGGTATAAATTGGCAAATCATTAAAAGTTTTAGGACTAAATTGGCATAATTGAAAGGTTTATGACTGAATTGGCAAATTATCAAAGAGTTTAAGACTAAATTGGCCAAATTGAAAGGTTTAGAACTGAATTGGCACAAGTGCAATAGGTTTAGGACTTGTTTGGTAATTTTCCCTAGCATATACATAATGGACTTTTGTATTATTTATCTCAAAGTTCACTTCTACCGACATTCATTGTTTAGTGATACCTAGAAAGGCATGCCTTTTCAGCAGCTAATCGAGGGTGTTGCGAGATTTCCAACTTTGGAACTGAAGGTCGCCCATTTAACAATAACCGTGTGCAAATGACTCTGAATTAAGGCTACTTACATAGTCCAAAGGTATGGACTTAACAGATCCATGGACCTCTAGAAAATCAGGTCTTCACATCCGTGCATTGGATAATTAACAGAAAAAACCATTATTTATTTGTTAGAAAGGAAAACTTTCAATGATGTAAATCTCAGTAGAAATTGTAAGTTCCTACGCAGATCGGGTATTCAGTCAAATGTATAGTACAAGTTGTAAATTTGCTAGCAAAAGGCTAAAAATTGTAATTTGTGCAAGTTTTTTATGCAAAAGTTTAGGTCTTTAAGTGAAAAGTGACGTCTAAAACAAGTTTATCGAACAATTTAGAGCTAATTTTTACTAAACTTTGGTAAATAAACGTGATGCCTTAAACTCTTATGAGGTGTTTAATTAAATCAAGCAAATTACTTCTTCTATAGATCCCATTGGTTCCAATTCCATTCAAACTTTAACTGATCAATTCAGCAAATGAAAGGAATTTTGTATAACTCCTTTATTCTATTTATATCAAAATTTATGAACAAATTGGAGATTGCTCAGAGAAATTATTCAACAAAAATGGAGATTCATTTTCTTTCTTTTGTCTTCCTTTTCCTTAATTTCAAGTGACTGAGCTATACTCAGTTGAAGACAACTCCTTTCTCTAACCCCCTCTCTGTCTCTCTATCTTTTTAGGGATAATAAGGTTAACTAGAGTTGGTGAGTGATAAAGAAAGACAAGTGACTTAGACGCAAGGAAGATCTTAGTCAATTTGTCATTTTCTCATTTCCTCATTACATTTGCTCCAACCACTCATCTATGTCTCCTGTGGCCTGAAAGAGGATTCAAGTGACAAGTCAAAGCTCCAAATAGCTACCGTTTTGACCCAAGGGCCCTTCATCGTTTTCTCCTACATTGACTATATAACTCGGCGAGAGTCAATAATCATGATTAATCACTGTTTTTTTTTTTCGTTTTGGGAAAAGGGGTTATGCAAATTTGGTACTTGGTGCATCATTAGCATGAAGCGGCCGGTTCAAAGGTAGTGTATCGAATCTAATGTTTTGCAGATACATACGTCAGTCTAATGCTTGAAATTGCGAAAAACGAGAAACTTATGATGAGTCGTGATCGGGACACGTCGACCCGCTGATTTGCCGGCGAATGGCAATTGTGGAGCTCAACTAATTTGGAATTCTTAGTGCAGCGTTTTCATCTTTGATCTTAATTTCCGATGGGGGTTTGAATGTCGTGGCTTATGGCTGCGGCATTCTACGAACGAATCATAGTATAGGATAGCTCATGGTCAGTCTATTCTGTGTAATTATACTAATTAATTACTAGCTATGCTGACTTGAGGGATGATTTATAGAGTGCCACAAACTTTCAAAGTGACTGGTGGCTCATTCAAAACACGATAGAAGTATAGATTGGTACTTTTTTTTTAAACTTTGTTGTGCAATTGAGTAATCTAAATCACTTATATTTTTACAATATTGTTCTCTTGTAATGCTCGAGTCACTCGATCTCTCCGTCAAAATACCCATATGACATTTCACATAAGAAATTCGAAAAAATCAGTTAGACAACCCTTTTTTCGGCAATTTGATATATGGTTCATAAATATATCGTAACAAGACGTGAATAATTTAGAAGAAGAGTTCAAGTCAATGCATGTCAAGATTTATCTGTAAACTTTTGCCTTAACATACTAAGTAGCGTGACGGACTCTTACTAGACGTTGATTATAAAATCCACTCATTTAATTCTCCTTTGTTGTCTGTTACAAATAATAGATCTGGATCCTTCCCGGTTAGCACATGACTTGACCATCTCTGGTTAGTGGTTACTCATAGAAGAGCTTGACATGGGGCAAGTCATAGATCCAGTGGCCAAAACATATTTTTCTTCCTACAGTCTATTGTGCTCGGGACCTTTCAACACCAATATCAGGGAAATTGTCCAATAAGTCCTACATATGTTATACGGATATCAATTCAGTTCTAAATTTTCCAATTTTGTCAATTTATTCTTAAATCTTTGTGCGAAATTTCAATGTAGTCATTCTGGCCAATATTCGTAAAAAACCGCGGACGTGGTGGTGTACAATGTAGGACGGTCGGCGATAAATAAATTGCCATGTCGGGGTTTTCTCGTCAAAATTGACTAGAATGACTATATTAGAATTTTGTGCAAAGGTTTATGATTAAACTGGTAAAATTAAAAAATTTAGAACTGAATTGGCATCGTACAATAGGTTTAAGACTGATTGGGGTAATTTTCCCCACCAATATTTATCACCGTACCGCTGCTGCCTTCGTCGCTTCGTCACCTCCTTTGCTCCTTTGCCTCGATCACGGCTACACCGCCAATCTCTCTGGTTTAGAGCGCGGTCGATACCGACTCGCTGCTACACCTCGCTCGCTTGCCTGTTGATCCTCCCTAACACTACAATCCCTGAGCGGTTGTCGACCATTCCCTAACATTGTCACCCTTGAGGGAGCTTGGGCCCGGATGTTGTAGGGTAAATCTCATGAAAATTAGGGGGCAATCCGATCATTTTGGAGGGACCGCACTGTGACATCAACCACTTAACTTTAGAGGATCTCGATCGTCGGACACAGTCCAGTTAAGGGGTAAATCGAAAGTATCCCGATACTCGCGCCATTAAAGTATATCAATATTATAGATCGGTTTTTTCGATGGCCCTTATGAAATCGAGTAAGGATTGTATATAAGACAAAGGACTTCATGCAAGGGACAGCCGCCTCAAACCACCCCGATCGACGGGTAAGGTTTGCATGAAATTGTCAAACCGGGTTAGTTTCGTCATTTCACGCCAAGGCGAAGACAATAAGAAAGAAAGAAGCTCAAGCAAGGAATTACCCGAGAGCGAAGGCCGGTTTCACTTTCACACTGGTTTTAGAGAGAGAGAGAGAGAGAGAGAGAGAGAGAGAGAGAGAGTTGAACAAGATAACCTAAGAAGAGATCCAGAAGAGGTGGAAGGAGGCTTTGTCTGAAAATTTTTGGTCGCAGGAGAAGAAAGTCACCTGCTTCCTTTGTAGAGAGAGAGAGAGAGAGAGAGAGAGAGAGAGAGAGAGAGAGAGAGTCTCTTGTCTTGTTCCTTCTCTCCCTTCATTCAATTCCAACTCTTCCATTTTTTTCCACTCATCTTTATTATCTGCAACAAAATCCACCGACCCATCTCTCTCTCTCTCTCTTTGGAACCGGGAACCGTGGGCATGGTCTCCGTGGAGGAGGAACGGAAGGTCCTTTCGCCACGTATCGGAGGCTCTCGTCAGCTCGGTTCTTGAAAGACTTCTGCTGATAAAAGCTCTTCTTCTTGTCATAGTTGGGGTTTGTTAGTTTCATGGCCGCTGACAAAGAAATCACCACCCAACTGCTCCACCACCAGCAGCAACAACAGCTCCAACATCAGATGTCTTTCGGGATGATGCAGTCCGCGCCATCAACATCTTCCTCTGTCCTCCAAAATTTCATGTAACTTATTTCAATCATTCGCTGTCTTTCTGTTTTCTGGTTTTAGACAAAGAAGAGGATCTTTCCCTTTTCTTTTCACATGAACATCTCGTGGCACGAAGCACGTCTCCATCTCTCTTTCTCTCCTTATATCTGTAGGTATTACGGATTGACGATACTGATAGCTTTTCCTTCTTTTTTGGCTTTGTTCAATCAGAAGCAAAGAAAATAATGGAGCTTATGACTTGGGAGAGCTGGATCAAGCGCTCTTCCTATATCTCGATGGTGGACAAGAGGCGCCAAACGTTCATCATCATCATCATCAAGATCAAAGGGGTGAGTCTCTCCCTCTCCAGTCTTGTTCTTTTTATATTCGTATCTTCTAAACATCCATGAAGATTGTGTCTGATCATGTATATATATTTTTTCTCCCTCTTGCTATATATTTTATGCTTCTGTTGGAAAAATTTCATGAGCAAAGTTTGCTCAATTTTGATCTACATGAAAATCATATGGAGAATCCGAAATCAGAACTGTCTCTACTTTATTTTTTGCTCTTTGACTTTGGAGACATGAATGAAGAACTTCAATGCTTTCAAGATAAATTGTCTTTCATATTTAATTTCATTCTTCGGTTGCTTCATTTTTTTTTCTCCTCTAAATCTCGGACCGTGACATGTAACAAACTCAAAAATCGCGAAATTCTTTCTCCCTTTTCTCTTTCAATATGACAAAGCAATGTGAAAACCGAAAGGAAAATTTTACGAATGCATAACTTCTCTGGGTCTTGATAAAGCATGGTCATCATGTTCCCAATTACTGTATTCATATTAGAATTTATGACTATTGCGGATAATTACGTTCATGGAAACAGAAAACACCGGGATGATGAGACCTCCAACGCTGAACATATTCCCTTCTCAACCTATGCACGTAGAGCCATCTAACAAGGTATAATGTTTCTATATGTTTATGCCTGACTGAAACTTAGTTTATCATCGGAATGACATATATGTATGTTATTGAGTAATGGGTTCAGTATGAAGTACCTTTTCTTAATGCGGTAGGTCAATACCGGAATAGTTTCTCCTTCTACAAGTGTTCCCAGAAGACAAATGGAGCATTCAATGGAGTTAGGTGACCCAAAAAATGATGTCTCAACTGGTGCTGAGCCAGCTAAACCCATCAAGGTAATATAATATGCAAGTATCTCTAAATTATAGCCAACTAGTTCCGTAACATTTTTTTGGGTATCGCAGTCCGGTGGTAGCATCGCCATCACGAGAAAAAAAAAATCAAATAAACTCCGCTCATGCAATGGATCTTGCTTATATGGTCATTTTATATTCGTGGCAGCCTGAAGGCAATCGAAAAGGCTCGACATCGGATTCTCCGGAGCTTGAAGGACCTAAAACTCCAGATCCTAAGGTCTGAGTAACCCCTTTTCCGGCTCTAGTTTTCAGTAATATTTCTGCGTCTTTCTTTCTTCTTCTTTTGTTTAATAAAGTGGTAACGATCAAGCGAAGAATGATGACTAACACTACTGAAACGATGTCATGCTTAAATTACGTGCAGACATTGAGAAGACTCGCTCAGAATAGAGAGGCAGCAAGGAAGAGCAGGCTTAGAAAGAAGGTCAGATATATTTAAAACCATTCCCAGGCATTATGTTATCGCTATGTTCAGACGAATTACATTCATATGAAAAATTGCTCATCAAAATGCTTGATAATGAAGATCTCTAGCTATTTTAATATTTCTTATTTCATTCGCAACACAGGCTTATGTTCAGCAGCTGGAGACCAGCAGGATGAGGCTAAATGAGCTGGAGCAAGAGATACAAAGAGCTAGAGCTCAAGTGAGAGAGACATTCACCACAACATCTCTTTACCTTTCAATTTGTGTTTTCATAACAACATTGATCTACCCCTCATCGTTTTTTATTTTTGGTCCCTTAAAATCGAAACTATGAATAATTAGATAATTAGGGTTTCTCTTTGTTTCAGGGTATGTTTCTTGGAGGAGCAGGTGTGGGAGGAGATCAAGGTCTTCCCGTTGGAGGAAGCAACATTATCTCAGGTGCTTTAATTCATCACAATCGATTATATACCAGTCGTCGCTATGCGCTTGCCTAAAAGAGAGGAGAAATTAAACAGCACTTTCAGTATTTTTTAGAAAATGGGTTTAGTGGAAATAACTTGCCACTAGTTTGATAAACCTGTCCGCCAAATGTATAAAATGCCCTTTTCAAGAAAATAAAAGGTTATTATTACATGAATTTCCACGAAAAAGAAGAGTTTATTTTGAGTTTAAGAAAAATATGAAAAGAAGTTCATCAAGTTCATCATGAGTGCATGACCTTGGAGGTTTGATTGTTTGAAATGCAAGTGATTCCGAATGCTTGGTACTCAACAAAAGTCTACTTTCAAATTTCAAAAGAAAGGGAAGAATGAGACCCACACCAAAGGCCATAAGGTAGGATATTTGAATCTATATATTTTGCTTATGGATTTGACATGTTTCCTAACCCTCCAACTCAACAGCATTTCTTAATTAAAGAATATGCGTACATATATTAAAAGTGTTTTTATCGAGAAAATCATTAATAAAAACATACTGACTCTCCAAACTCAAACGTAGCCACTCTTATATTAAAAGTGTTTTTATCGAGAAAATCATTAATAAAATAATTATAGCATGGTCAATAGCCTAAATAAATTGTCAAGAGGAGTTGGTGCTGTTTGCACAAACCTAATTCTTAAGTGCCCACTTCGAAGATGGTAAAAAAAAGTTAAATATAATCATCATTGCATCATCGTAAAGTTCCTGTCTCAACTGATTATGTGACAGCTTCTACATGACAGATACAAGCTAAGGTAATCCATTGCAAAGAGCATATTGTAGACCAGAATAAACCTTTCAAGTTTGAATCAGACATATTTCTCGCTCTACAGTAGACGTTGTACCGTGTCACGTCGATACGCATGCAAATATTGTCTCCTCTTCATGCAACGCTAAACGTCCAAATGGTTTTTTGTTTGCCAGAGGCCGCGGCAGTGTTCGACATTGAGTACGCAAGGTGGTTGGAGGAGCACCACCGCCGCACCGGCGAGCTCCAAGTGGCAGTCCACGAGCATTTGCCGGAGAGCGACCTGAGGCTATTTGTGGACAACTTTGTGGCTCACTTCGACGAGGCGATGAACCTGAGGGCCATGCTAGCCAAATCCGACATATTCCATCTGGTGTCCGGCATGTGGATGACTCCGGCCGAGCGATGCTTCATGTGGATCGGTGGATTCCGTCCCTCTGAGCTCATCAAGGTAAACTAGCTCACTATCTGCTCTAGGTTTTGTTCTCAGTATCTTCAGTACGTTGGAAGTCGTTGACGATGCATGAGACTCGACAATATTGCAAGGTATGACTGATTTATGCGTCTAAACATTTGATGTGCTACAACTAAGATATAATACAGAAACCCTAAAATCCTCATATAAATCAGAAAACTATATACATATGAAGGTTCTCCCGGAACACGTTCAGTAATATGGAAAAGAATTTACTTGGCCCTGTCAACAAAGAATTTACACACTAAAGCTGCATTATGTACTAATGAAAAATAAATTTATCAACCTTAGTAGCTTCCTCGAGAAAGTGTGGTTTTCATTCTTAACTCTAGAATGTAGAACAATATCCCAGACAATTTTTCATTCTAGGTCATCAAAACAAATCCTACAAAAATATAGAAGGATAATGACACAAATAGTTTTTAAATTTTGTCTTAATGTGCAATGTCATCAACTTTCAATGCGTTCGACGTGATCCTTGAACTATTCGTAAATATTCAATCTAGTTCCTAAACTTTCAATTTATTTAATCTAGCCCCTTAGTTTTTCGTATAAAATTTCATAATTACACTATTGCGCAGATTTTAGAATATATTTTCATTTCAATTAATCTTCTAATCAACAAAAAATATGCTATCTTTTTGTTACCTTTTGATCTTTATAAATATCATTATAGTTTTAGTTGAGTGTGTTTTAGCTCAAGTCTTTGTAATAGTAAAAATATTACATCATTTAGAGTTATATTGGATTCATATTTCTTTTATTTTAAAATATTTAATTACGATATTAATTTATCTGTTGATTTGTCGTACTTATATTACTCTAGATCTTGTTCCTAATTTTTTAGGTACATAAAATTTTTAAGTTTTTGTTTTATGCTTTCTTAATTAAATTTAGATAAATATGTAAAAAGTTAGAAGGAATACCAACCCAATACAACTCTAAATAAGGTTCTACTTTTACTATTATAGAGATTATAAGATAAAATACACATAAATGGAACTATGATAATATTTATAAAGACCAAATCGGTAATAAAAAGATAGTTTTTTTTGTTGATTCAGAAAATGGATTGAAATGAAAAGATATTCTAAAATATGGGTAGTAGTGTAATTATAAAAAATTGTGAATACTGCATAATGATTAATTTGACTTCGTTATAGAAAGTCAAGGGACGAGATTGAATAAATTGAAAGTTTAGGGAATAAATTGCGCATTTAGGAATAGTTCAAGGACCATGTTGAACAAATTAAAAGTCTAAGGATAACATTGTAAATGGAGCCAAAATTTAGAGACTATTTGTATTATTTTCCAGAATATAGAAAGTCATGTCCTAAGTAATAGGACCGGAGAATTTCTTCTTTGCGATAATATACTTAGTTAAATGAACAAATCTTACCAGACATCTTCTTGGGGACAACAATTCAATATAATAGTAGCGGGTCATTTCAAGAATCCATGCCGGGTTATATCTATTTAAGATGGACTTTCTCGTCAAATAGAAAACTATATAAATTTTCGTTACCTCTTGGACATGCGGGGATACGTCACAAAAGACTTTGCTAGACAATAGTTTGTTTAGGTACTCGTCTACGAATTCAATGGGGCAAATTATTACTCCTCTACCCTTTTCTATCAAAGCAAGCAAAGTCAATTTTGACATCTTTATTAGAATCTGTTTTCCTTTTTGCTTCCCTCCATGTTGGACAAGATTTGGTGATTGCGAGGTTGATAACAGGTGTGATGCACGAATATAGATAGAGTGCATGGCTGCAACTTTGTTTGGTGCATGTGTAGGATGCCGAAAGGCATCGACCAAGGTTGCTTCCTGATGGAAATGCTTCGGTTCAACTCTCGTAACCGTGCAAGAAGTGGCATAGGAATTCTTTTTTTCACCCGTGTAAGGTTATGTTGCTGTCAACATACAAAACTGTGGGAAATTGTCTGGTCAAACCTAAACATATTATACGGATATCGATTCAATACTAAATTTTCTATTTTACCAATTTAGTCCTAAAATCTTTTGCGCAAAAATTCCAATATAGTCCTTCCGACCCATTTCCTGCTGAAAATTGCTAATGTGATAGTCTAATTATCGCCAGCCATTCTATGTGGCACACCATCACGTCAGCGATTTTGGACGAAAATTGATCGGAAGACTACATTAGAATTTCACGCAAAGATTTAGGACTACATTGGTAAGCTTGAAAAATTTAGAATTGAATTGGTATCCGTACAATATGTCTAGAACCGATTGAGTAATTTTCCCCATAACTGATGTTGCTATAAAATTTTAAGGGCTAATTACCCAAGTATTAATCACTCTACCTTTTTTCTCTCTTCTCCTTCTCTCTCTCTGCCTGACTGTCATGTGCGAGGTATCATGGCTAACCAAATCCCTTTTATCCATGATATTGGACAATGTTTAATAATTACGGATCTAACAGTCACAAGGGGTTTTCCATGTCATAAGAACTATTTTTCCTAAAATCTTAAGTTATTAAGGCACATGCCAACAATGTATTTATAGTAAATTACTTCACATTTCCCCTCACGTGTATCCCGGTCTATCACACTTGCAAGATAGGATAGGGTCGTAATCAAGTCCACAAGATAAACCGGACATGAAAACATTCATAACAATAGGAACATCGAACAAGAGAAAATTAAGAGAGAATATCAGGATTCAAATTGTCGACCTGCACTCTAGTACGTATCATATTAGACATATCGATTTTCCTAAAAACTTGAAAGAAACAATTTTTGTTACATGGATTTGATCAAACTATATGGATTCACTTGTGAAAAGGTCGTTTAACAGATAAATCCAGTCATGATCTTGAGAATGATGTTGACCCTATTGCTCATGGCAGATGGTATTTAGTCACATCGAGCCACTGACGGAGCAGCAGATCATGGGGATATGTGGGTTACAGCAGTCAACGCAGGAGGCAGAGGATGTCCTGACTCAAGGGCTGGAGGCACTCAATCACTCCCTCTCAGACACCATTGCTTCTGATCCATTGACCTCTCCTCCCAACATGGCCAACTTCATGGGCCACATGGCTATAGCCATCGACAAGCTCTCGGCTCTCGAAAGTTTTGTTAGGCAGGTAATGACATTTGCTTGATTTCGTTCATCTCCAAAGTGCTTTCTTTTTTCATACCTTTCCTTTTTTTTTACCAATAAAAATATCGATATGCGAGGGGGGCCCATTGGGTCCGGCTCGGTTAGATAGATCGGGCCTAATTTGTCGGCCGACTTTTAATAGGGTTTGGGCGGCTCTTGCCAAACTGAACAGGACCGAACTTTATCTATACAAGTTGCTTTTCTGAGCTCAACCATCTGCCATTTGTGCCTGATGGCTCGAGCAGGTCCATGGTCAGGACTTAGCCCCATGCTCATATTATTATAAAAGTAAAGTTAGGTCATGATTAGCGAGTTCTACTCTGATGAGAACCACCTGGGTTGTGTAGGTGGCAAAGACATTCCATTAACTGCGTATAGATAAATAGAGAGTTGGCAATTGATTTATGAGGGATTGTAAAGACTCGTGTGCAACTAGGAGAATTAACCTCTAGTAAAGCTAAGGAGTACATGTCTTCTCCCTAAGATTACTAACTAGCTAGACTCCTTTTTATTTTTTATAATTTAGGGGCATGGACATAGACTACTTATAGGTCCATGAAACACTCCGTAAACTTCTATGAACCAATTAAATTCAAGCCTTAGCTATGTGTAGATAGCTCGATCCAAAATAGGCCTAGCCTGAAGAGTGTGAGAATTCTCATTTCAAGAAAAAGACACACTAGAACTTAAAGTTCACAATGTCTCACAATCATTGCAAAAGGTCTGAGCCCGCTGACAAGTATTTTTCTTATCACTCCAAAAACTAATTTTTGTTTGGTCGAAAAGACGCTTTCATTCATTCTTAGAAATGAACCCTACTAGGGGTGGACAAAGAGTTTCTGAATATAAAATACTCCAAAGAGGTGGAGGGGTAAAGACAACCAATTGGCGAGAAGAGTCTTGTTAAACCAACAAGTTGTCATTAAGGTGGAAACGATATTGCTAGAAAAGAGAACCTCTTTGACATGCTTGCAGAAAGAGCTTCCAACAACAATCTAGTTCTTTAGGAGAAGGCAACATGAATACCACCAGTTCCCGTGGCATTGTAAGGTTTTAAACTCCATAAGGCATCTGATGATGCGCGAATCCACAACGGGCTGTAGACTGGGTAGATCTCTATCTAGAATGAATATGCAAACAAGGACGAAGAAACATCCTAGATTTTCCGTAAGAAGACCTTCCTATGCTTAAGTCAGTATGAGTTAAAAGAAGAAAAAGACAATAGAGAGAACAGAAAGAGAGTGTAGGAGTGGGAAAATTCTAGATCTCAATTGTATGGAAGTTGGTTATGAGAAACTTACCTCCTTTGGGCCCCCAACTTTCTATTATGATGCTCAAACCGGTAGTAAATAATAACGAGCGTATCTTACCTTACTCACATGACTGGCACATGTGCAGCAGACGACAGCTGAAGGCATGTCCTTGACTCGAACTTCCAATAAGCTTTTTCTTAGCAGAGGTTTCTTGACTTCGGACCTCGAGATTAAGTTGTAGGGATTGTGTTATTTTAGATGTCTTCGAGGTAAACCAGACTTCTGATATCAAAGTGAAATGAACTGGGCTGAGTGAATTAACTTCTTCACTATGTTGGGCTAATTCCAATCTTGATGAACAGATCATTATCACTGTGATGCTTCTCAGTAGTGGACAGTTCCCTTTCAAGAGGGTTGACTTCTTTAGGAAGAGCTTTTTGGATGCCCCCAAGCACTCCTAATATGTATCAAAGATTAATTGCTCGATGTGCGGGCTTAATTTTTCTTCATTGAAAGGTCGAAATCTTTCTCTGTGATCGATCTTTTTTGGCAAACTTACAGTAACTCTATGCCATAGCTAGTGGCAAATCCTTGCTAGTTGTGAGTATAACATAGTCCAAGAGCTTAATTGAGGTGAAAAATCAGACTTGAGTGTAGATACAGAACAACTATCCATTGCTTTTTTCGGAGTTTGATACCATCGAAAGCGAAGGGGGAGAACTTTCTTCTGTTGAAGTGAAGCTAAAGGGGTTCTCTTTGTGATGCCTCTCAGACAGATATTTGCCTACCATTGTCTGTAATACCTATTTGCAGAGTCACTCTTGTAGCAGAGTGATATAAGATCCTCATCAAGTATGAAAGACTTCGTTCAGACCCAACATAACTATCAGAACGAGACTATAACATCTTTTATTGGCCTTTTTTCTCTTTTGTTTACTTTAGAGAACTTAAATTTTTTAAGACTACCGAGTAATTGCAGATACATGTTTGCCAAATGATTTAAATGCTATTAATTTTGCAGGCTGATAACTTGAGAAACCAGACAATTCACCGATTGCATCAACTCCTCACGATACGCCAAGCAGCGAGGTGCTTCTTGGCCATTGCTGAATACTTTCATCGCCTCCGGACACTCAGCTCCCTCTGGTTGTCACGTCCTCGTCAACAAGATTAACTATCACTCTCTTAACATCTATGCATACTTTCTTTTCTTCTTTCCTTTTCTTCTTTCCATAGAGATGTATAGACAGATAGACAGAAACAGAGAGTTTAGAGCTAGAATATTATACATCTCTCTCTCTCTCTCTCTCTCTCTCTCTCTCTCTCTCTCTCTCTCTCTCTCTCTCTCTCTCTCTCTCTCTCTCTCGAGCTAAAAGTCCTGAAGATTGACTGTGACATAATGCATATGAAGTTACTTGATTAAAGGAAGAGACTAGTTCACAAAATTAAGACAAGACGATATGAGTGAGCATTTAAACAAGTGGAACATATCAAAATACCAAACAAGACTTTGCTGTGTCACTTTTTAAACAAAGTCTGCAATCAACTTTTCTATCTCTGAGAATTCTTTTTTGAAGAGAGATTTTTATCTCCAGCATTTTCTTTGGAGTGTAAAATAATATGCAGCCACAGCATCTCTTTATTATGATGTTTTGCTTTCAATTTGGATTCTGTAAAAAGGGAGCTTACAGAGGAAAACATGACGGAGGACAAAACATTTTCCACCAAGTAATAAGGTTACTTCCCCAATGCACATGTGACTGATAAGACCTAACCATAATAACTCACAGAACCGAGCAGTAGCACTATCAGGAGCAGAACCACCAAATGGACCAACATTTATGCCACAGATTGATTAAATAGAGAAATGTAAATACAAGTGTCAGCCCCGAACTTAGTCAAGTTAGAGAGAAACCAAAAAAAGAAAGAGTATTCAGAAAGTACCTATCCAATTCCCCAACCTCAAGGGGAAGTCTTCAGGTATCATCTATGACCCAATTTACAAGTTCAGTGACAGTTCGAGCCGATGAAGGCTGCACGAAGAGTAAACTGTAAATACAGTCCCCCCAACTCTACAGGGCAGATATCCACGCATCACAAGGGATTGTCCTTCCACTGTAACCGATTCAACCCATCAACTATTGCCTTGCGGAACTCGCCATTGTGGAGAAGGAAGGATGAGACATGGCCACCAGTCACCCATCTAACTTCCGAACCTGGCCAAGCCTTTTGGAGTTGCAGCACCGAGTGTTTAGGTATGTAGCCGTCATCCTGAAAACAGGTAGCAATGTTATATGAGATGACCGGAACATTTGAATAGTTAGGCAAAACTACATGAAAAGGGATAATTAGAGGCAAAAGACCACACTCAAGAGAAGTCACATTACCGACGTCATCAGAGAACAATGACATGAGATTATACAATTTTATGAGTAAAAATACAACCGTCAGAGACTTCTAAATACTGATGCATAAAAACTTGTTGGCGGTACAAAAGATACAACTCTAGCTGCACTGGCCCACAAAACTACATTTCAAAATAAGAAGCATAATAGTCATATTTTGCAACATGGAAAGAACACCCTGAGGCCATAAAACTCAAGAAGCTTTGTGTTGTATAGGCTGATGTAAATTAAAGCAGCACATAGAAAGTAAATGGCAGAAGGGGGGGAGCAATTAAAAATCTAGGTTCTTATCATGTATTAACAAGCAGAATTTTCCCTCCACCAGCATAGTGTGCAAATACATGCAAGGACGAAAGTATCAGGAAAAAGGGACCGGCAAACCTTCAAGGACCAAGAGAATTAACATTTACTGTTTGCTATCTATTCACATTCCAGTTGCCAATCTATTACTTACAGTTGCAGCCACAAATATCACAGCATTCGGATTTTTGGGAATTGGAAAGCGTGTGACATCTGTGAGAGATAGTACATTTCGCATCCTTTCTCTCACTTCCTCGAGAGTCATTGCAGCTGTTTGTGCTGCAAGATCCTCTCTCAGTACCTCCCATGCAGTTCCATGCTTTAATATCCCATCACAGAATGCCACAACAGCTGAATGTGGGGAAAGGAAAGGAAGGGTTGCAACTGGGGTAGGGTGCAGTGAACCCACCATTGCAGCATGAACTCCACCTAAATAAATTTTGAGAATAAAAGATGATCAAACTGCAGATATGACTCCAGGAAACCGAAACTAAACATTGTTATAAAATATTCAGCGGTGGCCCAAAGCAGCTTCCATAAGTTGACTTGTGAAAAGCAATGGAAAGGTGAAAAACATAACCTATAGAACAACATCAACACTGCATTGGAACTCTTATATTAATTTCATAATTTTAGAAAAATCATATAATATCTTACCCATGCTAAGGCCACAAACTCCCATCTTGCCAAAACCTTCCTCACTTTCTAACCAGTACAAGAGACTGCGGGCTTCTTCAATAGTCACTCTTCCTAACAAGAGAAGGTCGCTCACACACAAGAGTTTTGCACCATACTGCAGCATAGGACGTCTTTGTCCATAGAAGGGACTGCAGTAAATGTTTTTGCGCCATGAATTAGCTTAACAAGCTACTTGAAAGGGGTTTTCAGCATCTGTAAATGATTTAGAGTGAACCTCTCAAGCACCATGGTGGCAATATTCTCCTTCAGTAGCGGTCCACCTAGACGCAATCTCCTTTCAAAAGTATGATCTCCAGTTCCTGCAGAACATGTTCAAGTTGCCAACAAACGAATCATTATTATACCAGAAAATGTTGCTTAACTTGATAATTATAAATGACTTAATAACTCTAGAATAATAAACCAATGAAGTCATTGCTAACTTGTCCAATGTCAAAAGAAGGCCAACTTGTTAGCTATATCCTAAATCAATGTGCTTTGCATTTTGCCAGGACATAAGAAAAAGAAGAAGCAATCAACGGGAAAAGGTTGGATAGTTAGTGCTAGCCACAACATAAAATTATTAACTTCCAAGAGCCTGAAAACGTAATTTAATGTAATAATAATGGAAAGCGATATGTTAAATTATCCACCATCCACCATGTGGATATTGCTGCTAGATCCGCAATGAGTGAGACCAAGCTGAAACTAGAAAAGGACATCCTTTTTATACAATAAAAACCTCTATCTTGACTTTTTATTTGTTAGCCTCTATAGAACCTTAATCAAGATCGTAACTATGATATCTAATAGAACAAACATCAGAACTATTGAATAGCACGTTGATATCCTCCCAATAGGACATATCATATTGAAAACATCTAAAACAAGAGGCAGTGTGATATGAGCTATCCATAATGCACAAGTGCTTCATTTAGTTAGTACAAACTCACCGCTTTTTGTAGTCCTGTTTCTCTCCAGCCAAACAGGCCAATTCACAATTCAGGCTCTCAGCTACTCAAAATTCACATGACATTCAGCCAGAACTTTGTCATCCCAGCATCACAACTATGACCAAATCAATAAAACCAGCTCCTAACCATACCAAAGTACACAAAATCATATACTTGCCATACCTGCAAGATGGACCACACAGGCCATCTTCTGGGGTGACACGGATTTCGGGACGAGGAAGGCGACTCGAGCGATATGACTCTCGGGAGGCAATGCATTCAAGAGCTCCTCATCGCAAGGCGTGCGAAAAACGCCTTCTCTCAAGCAAGCCGTCCTCGTCTCCCAAACAGTTCTCCAGACGGGCTGGATCAAGCAGGGAGGCCAGTTTTGGCCCGCCACGTCAGGGAACAGCTGGTTGATCATCCTCTCCAGCAACTCAAGCTTCGACCCGCCCCACCCTCTGGAGAAGAAGGGCGGGGTTATCTTCGCCCGGTGCATGAACGCACCGTACACATGGTCCAGCACGTAATGGAGCATACCCAGATTCACAGTCACCATCTTCGCAACCCACAAAATGTCCTCCCAATCGGAAAAAAGAAAAAACCAGAAAAAATCGAATCTTGAACTTATTTCGCGAATGCCCACGCTATCGGGGAGCTACCCACGAACCCATCAATCGATCCCCGAAAAACCCGTACGAGAACGGATTCGAAAAACAACCCGAAAGCTCCACGAATGCAATCCGCTTTCTATAATCCGCACGGAGACAGATAATTACACTCGAAGCAACACAAACGAACCGGAAATCCACTGAATATCGATCTCGGAACAGATGTGAGGAGAGAAACCAATCGGACTCCGCGCAATGCAAGCGACGAACTCGAAGGCTCTGGGACTCATCAAAATCTTCACGAATCGAGCCGAGCCGCCGCCGTCGGCGGCACTGGGAAGGAGGAGGGGCGTGCGGGGGGGGAATTCCGCGGCGAGAAATGGGTCGGGCAAGGCGGAGGAAGATTCGCTCGCGAGAGCTTCGAGGTTGGATCAGATTGGTTGAGAGACGGAGAGAGAGAGAGAGAGAGATGAAGCACCAGACCAGACGCATAAACAAAACAAAAACTGTGGGCAGAGAGAGACACAGAGAGGGGGGAGGAGAAGATGATCTGTCGATGACACGGTGGAAGTGGGGCCCACGTGCCCATCCGCCACGTCAGCGGCTCGGAAACCCAAAACAAAAGGAGGAGGAAAAGAGCAAAGTTCAGTACGGATTGATTCAGGGGCAGATAGAGATCGGACGGCTGAGGCGCTCCTCTGTTGCCGTTGTGGCGTGAAGATCGAACCGTTGACGTGAGTTTTGGTCGGTATAGGACAGGACTACGGAAACGAAGGATAAGATTCGAGTCCGTCCACATCAGACGCTTATCATCACCGAGCAAAGTTCGATGGAACGTGGTAAAGATTTGTCCATGTCAATGGGAGAACCTCAAACTAGATTTCAGGTGATATTGAGATGTCATGTATACGTCTATTATGCAATCCCAAACAAAATTTCTCTTTAATATATATATGTGTGCGCGTCAAAATAATTATATTAAGTATTTCGCGATGGTGGAGTAAATGACTAGTATTCGAAAAAATTAGTCGTAAAAAGAACCAGAAACAAACCCCGATAGGATTATATTTTCTCTTATCCAATGTTTGGTTAGGCATTTGAACGGGATATATTCGAATATGCTTCATGTTTCAAATCTTTTAAAGTCTTGGTGGGATAAATTCATATGGGATTTTTATTATCTAAGAAGAAAATGAGACAATCAATAGAAGGACTTCAACTTTCTCACAAACGGCGACCGTTGCCACTATCATGCCAGTTGAAGGCAGGTGGGCAGGCAACAGTGGTGGTTGTTGGCAAGTAATGTCATTGTTTGATTATGGTGCCCTCCTATTATCCCTCTCTGTTAGCATGGCAGCGAGAACTTTGTGATGGTCGCATCTACATGGTCACCGCTGCGAGATGGTACCTATTCTTGGAACAACAGCCTCTCATGATGCGCTCTATGTGAGTTTGTGTACATGAGTATTCGCCAATCGTTGCACTATGGCGATCATCATTGAGATGGTTAGTGATTGACGTGCCTTGCAAGTGAGTAGGGTTGTGGTACAATTTGGGAATCGGCCGAGTTTACCCTAAACCGAGTGGCCCATTTGGTGTGGAGAATGCTACTATCGCATCATCAGTCGAAGCTCAAGAGTCCTATGTTCCGATAATTCAATAGTACAGTGATATAGTCATTTTTATTTGAAGAACTTAAAGCCCAACTCGTACAAACCAACCTTAGCAATTTGACTTCGCAAAGTCCTTTGGACTCACAGTGATTTCACTCAAAACAAATAGTATTCGATAATCACAATATAAAATAAGCATTAGAAAGCAACTCTTAAAATAAAATAAGAATTTTGTTAGTTTTACTGCTAGTGTCACGATAATCTTACACACTCATCTTTGGATTATGGACATGTGAAAGAATTCGTTACCCAATTTAATTCAAACACATATGTCACATATCCAATTGTAAATATGTAAGTTTTTTGTTATATTAGCATTGGACCTTACAATTAGGGCCGTCAAAATAGGTCACTAATCAAATTTGTCATACGTACCATAATGGGCTATGAAAAGAAAAGTCCAAAATAAATGGGTCAATTATAAAACCCACTTTCAGCCCATACGTTCAAAGGAATAACATTAAAAAATAACATGCCTAGCTCATCCTCATTCTTCGCAAGTCTCCTCTCTCTCTCTCTCTCCCTATTCGATTCCAACTAGAAGTGATTGGTTTCAGGATCAGTTGGTTATCACCCTAGAACCTAGAAGAGGATTGGGTAGGGTTGATTCCTAGTTTAAGGAATCGAAAACTAGCCTAACCAGTCTTGGAACCGGATCGACCACCCGAACCGATAATTCCTTTTTTTGTTTTTTTTCTTTCTTATATTACCTATATCTTGAACTCTAAAAGTTTAGTGTTGCCTTTCGCTTGCATTTGGCAATGTTGCTTCCACCATCTACTAGAGCAACTGTACTTGCATTATGTTCCGATGGATTCAAATGATTTCACCTTCCAATTTGTTCTTTTTCTGCATCAATTTTTGTTTGTCCCTCCCATATGTATCTTCTCGGTTAAAAGAGCTACAAGTGGGAGTTTCCCAATATTTAAAGGAAAAAAATGTATTACTTTCGGTTTTGAATTAAATAAATGTTACATGATCGAAGGTGCGGTGCTAATTGATGATCGACTAGTCTTCCACTGTATTTAGTAAATGGCATCGCATCAACATATGTTAAATAATAAAAGAATACACACACACACACACACACACACATATATATATATATATATATATAGATATATGGTTAAACAAATTTGTAGTCATTACTCTATTTCTTATGAATGTCAGAAAGAAAAGCAACCCAAGCCCTTTTACTCTTCAAGAAAAAAAATTATAAAAAAAACATATCGATTCGGTTTTTGAACAGGTCTACGCCGTCTTCCTCAAGTCTGGCGACCGGGTCTACGCCACCTTCCTCAAGTCCGGCAACCCCGTCCACCCATTCGTCTCCATGCCCGTCATCTCTCGCTCTACCAAGAATGGTGATTTCTCTCCCTCATCCCTCTTCCTCTCCAACACCCAGACATCGTTGCCTTCAATGCCATGTTAGAAATATATTTAGGATATTCAGTGATTTTGTAAATTTTATGATTTTTTGTTGTTTCTTAAGACTATTGTCATGTAAAGCCTATAAATAGGCTAATGTACTATTCACTTTCAATGAATAGAATATTCCATTTTTTTGTCATCTCAACTCTTAGCCTAGTTCAAAGCCATTGTTTGAGGAAGCACTCATTGAGTCTATTTAGCAATGCCACCCACATTAGCCGCGTTTCTCCACGGTGCTCATCATGACGCCAACCATATTGGTCGCGTCACTCCCATATCACCCTTAAGTCTGCAGCTTCAATTGTTGTTCGAGACTCTTCCGGGCCTGTTTGATTCGGCTTTTGGAAAAAGTCTTTGAGAAAATGCATAGGCCTTTAGAGGAAAGGGGTTTGGCGAATGCAAATATTGTTTGGTAAACTATAATTGAAAAGTACTTTGGAATACAACTTCGAGGGAAATGCTATTTAGTAAACATATATTTGGAAAATCCTTTGCTATGCCAATTTAAGTTTTTTAACTTTAATTAGTTTAAAATTTAAAAAAATGACTGTAACTTTTATATTTTCTCGTTGAGATTAATGTAAAAGAGATATATCAACAAATTTATAAATAAAAAATCACATGAAAGTGGATCTTTCTCAATTAAAAAGAGAGTAATTTGATTATAATAAACATGATCACATATGTCCTTATGAAAGAAATAAGTTATCCATAAATATTACAAAGCTCCTTAACTATTACTTAAACTCAAGGCTATTTCATAACGTAAACATGCCATGTCAGGAGATGCATTATCGTTTGAAGTACTCGCTTCCTCATTTATAGCATCATGATCAACCGAATATCCATACTCGAAATCCAAATTTGTTATTTCAAAATCCGTATTAGTCACAGTATTTCTTCGTATATAATTGTGCAAAGCCATTGTTGCTATAACAATTTGCACTTGCTTTTCATATGGATAAGTTGGCTCGGCAGTTAGAGTCTTCCACTTCAATTTTAATACGCCAAATGCTTCCTCAATTTCTGAGCGTAGCGAGGAATGGACATGGTTGAATACTTCTCGATAACCTGTAGGTGCAGGACCTTGCCGAAACTCGGCAAATGATATCTAACTCTAGCAAATATTATTTAGTAGACGATGGATATCCAAATAACCCGTGGGATTTGGATATCCATCGTCTACTAAATAATATTTACCTACACAAATATAATGTAAATTTAATTAATATATGCCACATAGATACATATGGATGTACATAAATCATTAATTAACGAACCTGGAGGAGGATGAGGAAATTATGCATCACGTCTTTCAATGGCATCATAAAAGATACGGGTATAATAAGCTTGTCCCTCCCAACCAACATAAACATAGACAAATTTCACGTTAAAATTACATACGGCCAACACGTTTTGAGTCGTCTTTCCTTTTCGACTAATAGAACGAATTTGATCGTACAAGTGGATCACTGTTGGGATATGTGTACTATCTATAGCTCCAATGCAATCTTAAAAAAACAACACAAATATTACTTGATTTACATTTCATTTTTCGTTTTTATTGTATAATTGTAACTTACCTTAAAATATGGATAAAATCATCAATCTGCTTTTATTTTCTCTGGAACTTCCTTATATTGGCGATCGATTGGTTTGATCAAATCATTTCCCATGTCACATACTTTATCTAAAACTAAGCTAAAGTGCTTACTTGATGATGCGTATATTTGGCTTATATTTTGATTATATTTGGTGGTATTTTGGGCAAATATTCGAATAAATAGAGTGTAATTTATTTGTTTTTATGCATTGTGGTTAGGTGATGGTGAATGATGCAATCGTGAAGATTTTGGACGCTTTTGATGTGTTTTTGAGCTGTTGGTTGGGATTCTGCATGTAAAAGATCCATTTTCCAGAGATCTGTGCTCATGGTTTAAGGTCGCGCGGATGCAGAGCTGATGCAGAATTTGGGGACGTGATTTGGCCATTAATTTCCATATTTTTCAGATCTGATTGTGGAGGATTTTTGTACTTAAATAGGACTCTTAATTAGGGACATTAGGGAGAAGTTTTTGCCCTTTTTTTTCTCTTTC